GAAATAGAAAAAATAGTACAAAAAACATGCTTCATAAGACATTCGATATCAAATTGCGTCTTATGAAACTTGTTCTATAGCTGGCTCTGTCAGAACAGTTTTTAATTAAAATAAAATCACCAAAATGTATGAGGTTATATAGGTACTTTATTCCACACATTTATTAAATAAACACAAACCACAAACTCTTTGACACAAAATTTAATATATCGAAACAGTAAGGGGACACAAATTTGATCAAAATAAAACATTATTTGGAAGATTGTTAAAATTCAACTGGCTTGCTTGCTCTTAAATAGGAATTGAAAAGTATGAAAAGATTTCTATAATTTTGAGGAATTCATCATATTAGTTAGGTTAGAATCGCAAATTGGCGCGGGTTCCTAGTTCAAAAATTAATACATTGATGTCTTATGGGGACTCAATTTTAAAAGCGTCTGTAGACGTGATAGAATGTTTGTTACGGAATTGAGTTGTATAAATAGTTTTTTTAATATGTTAATTAACTGAGAGAGTGTTTGAAAGTTGAATAAACATTGTTAAAATAAAAATATTACCAATTTAAGAAGCCGATGTTTGTATAAAATACGTAGGTCGTTGCTTGATCCATAAGTATATATGAGTACCTAATTATAATAAAATAAAAGTTTACCTACATACTTGGTTAGTAAATGTACTTCAATAATCCAAAAAAATTGAAAAATAAATGACTGAACTAGTGATAAATAAATAAAAATAAACAATTCACCAACAATCATAACACAACACACAACCTCACTTTCTCTCAGCTGGTTTTAGACCCGACGTACGTCCACCGAAAACAGACACTTTTAATTAAAATCATTTGTATTTTTAATTCATAGGTCTAAAGAAACAATTAGAGCATGAATTATAGAGAAATATGTTCAAAGTTTGATGTACAATAGGTTCCAATACTAAGAAATGCCCAGAACCCAAGATATTCCCGTCTGAAAATCACTCTTTTGAATCCCCCATAAGAAATACATTGCTGTCAAATTTGTTGAAATGTGTTTAGGAACCCATTTTAAATTTCGCGCCCGATTTTTCCTAACCTAACTAATATGGTCAATTATTTCCGCCTACCAAGAATGTCCACCAATCGAAGTTAAATCCAGGCTGGACACATTAATAAACACACAATGACAAGAAATGAGCTGGTGGCTCCCTACATTAGAACGCCAATGGTCACCTGACGTTACACCTGTTTTTGCTATAATCTTCACCTCCTCGCTCTTCATACGGAAAGTGTCAGATTAAAAACGACGGACATTACAGACTTACCGATAATAACCCGGTTAGTTTAAGTTAGTTTGTAATTTTAATCAGGCATATATCCAATCTTACCAATAACAACCTGGTTAGTTTGGGTTGGTTTGGGTTACTGACAACTCGCGGATAATAACCCCATTAGTTTACAGTTTTAAAAATGCATTACCAAACTTACCAATCATAACCTGGGTAGTTTGTGTTAGTTGGCAGTTTTAAGAAGGCATTACCAAATTTACCGATAATAACCCGTTATTTCGAAAATAAACCTTTTCGAAAACGCTTATTTCGAATTTTTTTCTTTCAAAATTCAATAATTTTGAAAATATATTTTTCGAAAATTAATAATTCGAAAATCAATAATTTGGAAAACATAATGGTAATGTTTGATTAAAATCGCAAACTAAGCCAAACTAACCGGGTTATTATCGTTGAAAGTTTATTAATGTTAAAACTGCAAACTCACCGGGTTATTATCGGTAAGTTTGGTGATCTCTGATTAAAATTGCGAGCTAACCCAAACTAACCCTTACTATTAACTGAATTTACAGAAAAAGTGTAAATTTACAGAAAAAGTGTAAATTTACAGAAAAAGTGTAAATTTACAGAAAAAGTGTAAATTTACAGAAAAAGTGTAAATTTACACAAAAACTGTAAATTTTTATAAAAATATTTTTTAATATTAGCATGGCAGCTCTACGCTTTCGTACATTTACCAACGATATTAACATTTCTATAATAATTTATTTTCTTTTCGAAGTCGTAAAAAAGTAATTTGAACTTTGAACATATTTTGCATTAAGTTGTAAGAACAGGAATGAAATGGTGATGGGAATAAATATGAAGCTTCAGATCATGTAGATGGAAGAAATTTTTTCGATATTTGTTTTATTTTCATCATAAATTTCAACATCTTTATTCATATTGTTAATAGTAACAAAGTCTATATATCTTCGAACAAGTCCGCTCACTCTCGCTCGTCGCCTAAAATTCCCCTCCTGCCGACGCGCTACTTCTAGCCTATCGCTTCCCTGCTCAAGAGGGCCCTCCTCGATGCCTTTAATTACAGGGTGGCTTGCGTCGCTTTCCATATCGGGTGCGCCAAGCAAAAAGTGTAGTAAATTTTATTTAAAAATTTTTGCGATTTGATAAAATTAAAACACAATCATATATTTTTTAAGGTGTCAGCAATAGAAAGACATTTTAGGAATGAAAACTCATTCACTTTGTCCGAAAATAGTCATTTACCTAACGAGTGCGGAAAGTTATACTTTTCTGCACGCAACGGCAAGCCGTAAGTGCGGAAAAGATACTTTACGCTCGTGTTAGGTACAACATTTCTCCTACGAGCGTGCGGAAATTGACATATTGTTTTTTTTTTTGTTTGTTGTTGGATCTACTGATAAAAGAAATGGTCAAAAATTTTATTTTTTAGGTATCAGAAGAAGTATAGAATTTTTAAAACGTATGTCGCTTCTTGAAGACACAAATAATAGTTATTAATGATATAAGTGTTAAAAGTACATTTTTAAGGCACGCATGTGAAAGTTTCACATAAGTGCCTTAAAAATACTTTTAACAGAAATATCATACAATATTTTTTCTACAAACGGCAATAAAAAGCAATAACCAGTAACAAATTGGATTTTTAAATGAATAATAAATTCGTAGCATCTTTCCTACATAAAATTATTGAATTTAACATTTGTCAGAAAATCCAAATAACCAGCACCTTGTTTTACAGGTAATGGAATGTCTTGTCAGTTTTTTGAAAGTATGTCGTGGTCAGTAATGCTTTTTGCTAAAAATGCAACAAAATACAGAAGAAAAAGAGGGCTGTATCGATCCCTTGAAAAATATAGATGAGGCGGCCAGTCGGGCTACCTCCAGTTGTTCAAATTTCACCATTTATATCAATGTAAACAACTAAAAATACAAACTTTTTTTGACGTTCGCTCTCAAAATTTGATGTTTCATTTTTAACACTAGTGCTATAAAGACTTTATGGCACTAGTGCGATAAAGTAACATTTTTAATGCTTCGGGGGGGTGTTAAAAATTGCATTTTTAACACGTTTGTAGAACAAAATAATTTCCTATTTGTACATGAAAAGGACTGCTAAAACGTCAATTATTGACGTATTAGCAATCTACGTTCGTTTTTCTTGGTAATATTTTATTTCATCTGATTCGTGATTGATAAATAGGGATAGGGTTATTCTAATGGGTATTAAAAATACTATAAATTAATTATTTATGGTATAATATATTTACCTAACAAATGCGGAAAATGATACTTTATCGCACGCAAGCGCAGTTTGGTCAAGCCGCGAAGGGTGATGAAGGCACTTTCCGCATGTGTTAGGCACAAAATTTTACCTATGAGCATCTACATCTCCAAGAAAAGGCAAAAATAAAATTAATTAATGAATCGGATTAATTAATGAAATTAGATTAAATTTAAAAATAATCGAAAATCCCTTTCCTAGAAGAGAAGGGATTTTTGATTAAAAATATCAAAATCTACTTTACCGCACACTATGTGGTAAAGTAACTTAAGCGCATAGGTAGTGTGCGGTAAAGTGCTACTTTCCATTTGCAAATGAGTGCGGTAAAGTGCACTCTCCGCATGTTCGTAGGTAAAACTCATTGAAGATGTCGATATTAGTCAGTACAAAAAGTTAATATCTTTCTTGAAGAGAAATAACGCAGGAACGTAATTTCGAAAAAAAATTAAAATTTTTCAGAAGCATGACAGAGAAAAAAATTGAAAAAAAATCTGTGTGGAAATAGTATATTTCCTAACTAGTGCGGAAAGTACCACTTTTCCGCACGCGATTGCCAGCGGAGTTCGGCAAGCAATCAAGTGCGGAAAAGAGACTTTTCGCACGAGTTAGGAACACTATTTTTTCTACGAGATGACAGGTAATATTTTTACCTACATATTGATCAATTTAAGATTTTTTTTTACTTTTTCAAACCTGTACCTGTAGTATACCTGTTTACCTGTAAGTACCTGCATACCTGAAAATTTCAGGTATTCTTCTTTTCCGCACTGAGTGCGGAAAAGTAATTACTTATCCGCACTCAGTGCGGAAAAAAATGGAAAAGCACTAGTGCGGAAAAGTGATACTTTCATGACCTAAAATGCGTGCGGAAAAGTACACTTTTCCGCACTCTCTTAGAAAAAACTTTTTTGGCGCACGCCGGTCTGTTTTTTTTGACGCACAAAATGCAGAAAAGTGATACTTTCCGCACGCAAACAGGTGCTTGAAAATGCGTTTTCTGCACGCTTGTAGGAAAACCTTCATTATGCTATTCCATCAAAGTTACTACCAGATCGTGATGGTAAGTAACACTTACCGCTGATTTTATAATATGAAATTAATTGAGTAACAATAATTATTAGGATTATCCGTCAATTAATTTAATGCTAAGCGCTAAGCAGAAAAAGTTTTTCCATAATTTTTTTAAACCAAAATATTATTAGCGTAAATATTCTTAAAAGACATTATTTTTCAAACTCCCCCTGTAAAAACATTACCAAGTACAATCGGGACCAGCGCCCTCGTATTTGCTTCTTATCTACAAATCGGCGCGTGCTGACATGATTTACGACCATTCGCAAAAAAAGCCGGCTTTTTGAGGAGATCAAAGGAGTGACCGGACTTGTTCGAAGATATATAGACTTTGATAGTAAAGTTATAATCTACATAACAAATTACATCTATACTTATTTTAAGAAGACATGAATTATAAAAATATCTAATAATATCACTATATGAAGGTACATTACTATTGTTACAATTACGATTTACCTATACTTATTATGTTTTTAATTGCAGGACAGATCTGAGAATTGTCAGTGAAGCCGTCCAAAGCAAAAGCCTCAATAACCTAATTATGGTAAGTCACATAATCCAATATCAATTAGATTTGTTCTTTAGAAATACAAATTTGTAAGTGAATGATGCTATTAGAGAGCCTCCAACTGGTCCTACCCAATAGATCTGAAAAAAATTATAACTTAGTTAAGAAATCTATTTGCCTGCGCGAAAACTTGCCCAATGATTTTTATAATCTCCACTCCAAACTGCCGGGCCGAAACTTCTAGCCGGATTCATGCTGGCTCCAGTGTAAGCTCCCTGAAATAAAGCTCAAGTTTTGAAATCGTTTCACTTTAATTTACAATCTGATGTAGGATACTTACACCACCTAAATTCAAAACAACAACTAGAGTTCCAATTTTAAGCGACATCGAGTCGAGTTTGTCGGAATTTCTGGCGTCCCACGAAGCACAATTGGCGAGATTCAGAATAATACTGAGAAGGATTTCCACAAATAGACCCTGAAAGAAAATAATTATTGTGAAATATTTAACGCAGTTGCCTCAAATTTCTTCTCCTTATTTGTTTCAATCTTTGTCTATTTCTGGCTCTTGAATTTCTGTTTCCTCTCAAACTTTTTCAAATAAACAAAATTCAAAAAAATAGAGAAAAAACTAGAGCTTGGAATAAAAAAAACTTTATGGCAATGCTTGACTAACATTACTAACAATTTTTTCTCAATTTGCCTAAAATTTCTTTTCTAGTTTTCAATTTCTCTGTCCTAATGTTCGTCTATTCCTGGCTCTTGAATTTCTATTTCCTTCCAAACTTCTTTAAGAGAACAAAATTAAAAAAAAAAAATGAGATAATACGAGAGCCTGGAATAGGAAAACTTTTTTTTTTTTTTTTTTACGGATATGCGCACTCGCAAGGAAATGTCCTATCACGCTCGAGAAGCGGCAAGTGCGCGGAAATGTCGGTGTATGTTGGTCTTGAAATGGTTCAGGTTGTAACCTGTAGGGAAAACCGTCGCAGGGAGTTTATTCCACAGCGATGCTGTTCTCCAGAGATATGAATTCTGATATAATGAGGTTCTTGGTGCCTCTAGTTTGACAGTAAATTCATGGTTACCGTCTGTTTGACGGGTTCGCCTGGTAGGTGCTACTCTCGGTGGAATCATACGTGCCAACTCTTCAGAGCATTTTCCGTGATAGTACCTGTAGAAGAGAGATAAATCGCCTACAGATCTGCGATGTTCGAGACCATCCAAGTTACGAGTAAGTGCGGGGTCATTGATCAGCTTGATAGCTCGTTTTTGCACGGTATTCAAAAGCATTAAGATATGTTTGGGTGCTGCACTCCATATATGTGAGCAGTACTCCATAGTTGGTCGAATCTGGGCTTTGTAGAGTGTCAGCAATTGGCTTGGTGTGTACAGATGTCTTGTACGAAATAGCACCCCCAGCTTTTGGGAGGCCCTTTTAGCAATATCTGCCACGTGACTGTGCCAAGACATGTTGGTCTCTGCAGTAACCCCCAAGATGTTCAACTGAGTCTGTAATGTGACAGCACTTCCAGATAGCATGATGTTTGGCTCACCGGTGCTGGTCTTTTTTGAAAACAGAGCTGCTTGGGTTTTCTGCGCGTTGAACTGTACAAGGTTTTTGTTACCCCAGTCCTCTATTATCTCCAGGTCGTTATTTATCTGCGATATTTGAGTTAGTCTAAGATGATGGAATTCACGTGCGGAAAGACCTGTGGGTGGTATGAGTGAGGAGACTACATTGCCATCGTCTGCAAAGCAATAAAGTGGATTTACTGTTTTATCTATGAGGTCATTTATGTAAATCAGGAAAAGAGTTGGCGAAAGGATTGCTCCCTGTGGCACACCAGCATTTATTTGGTAAGAGTTGGAGTTCTGGCCATCCAGTGCAACATAAATGGATCTGTCCTTTAGGTAACTTTCAAACCAAGTGCAAATTTTCGGCGATAATCCCATTGCTTTGAGCTTGTTGAGCAGATTTTCATGCCAAACTTTGTCGAATGCTTTAGATATATCCAAGGCAATTGTTCTTGTTTCACCCCGCAACTCAATCGCTTTTTGCCATAAGTGAGTGACGTATGTAAGTAAATCGCCAGTTGACCTATATTTTCGAAATCCGTATTGCTTATCGTTGATAATTTTGTACTTTTCCAAGTACTTGGTTAGGTGATTGTTCACAACTCTTTCCATTACTTTTGATATCACCGGAAGTAGAGCAATTGGTCTATAGTTTAACGGATCTGTCTTTTTTCCTTTCTTTGGAATAGGTTGTACTGCGGCAGACTTCCATGATGATGGATATACTCCTTGCCTGTAAGACAAATTGAATAATTTTGCGAAAGTTGGGGTGAGTTCGTTGGCGCAATTTTTGAGTACTATTGCGGGAATGCCATCCGGACCCATTGCTTTGTTTGTATCCAGCTTTTTTAGGGATTTTCGTATTTCTCTGTGACAAAAGGGTACCTCTGGCATACTATGGGAAACCCTTTCAATGAACGGTGGAGTTTTTCCGTTTGGCACTGTTAGGTTGGAGTTGGAGGAAAACATTTGGGCAAGCATATTGGCTTTTTCCTCTAATGTTGTGGCTAAGTGATTATTTTTATCTGTAAGTGGTGGTATGGATGACTTGGTGAAGTTAGATCCAACAGCTTTTGCAAGAGACCAAAAAGACCTAGAACTACTTGGACAATTCAGCAACCTGTTTTTTATTCTTTGATTGTATGTTTCTTTAGCGGAGTCAATAGTAATTTTGCAACTATTTCTGGCTTCTATAAATTCTGTGTGGTTTTGAGCGGTTTGTTGTCGTTTCCAAAGGTTATATGCTCTGTGTTTTTTCTGTACAGCCTTTTGACACTGGCTGTTGAACCAAGGTTTTGCATTAGCTCTACGTTTAGTTGTATGTGGGATATATGCGTCCATTCCAGATAAGATTACTTGTGTTATTTCATTACAGCAAATAGTGGGATCAGCTGTTTTAAAGCAAACCTCTTGCCATGGAAAATCCAGGTAATACTGTTTTAGGTCATTCCATTTTGCCGATTTATAGTGCCACATTTTACGAGGAAGTGGTTGTAGGCTTGGTGAGATGAGCATTTCGCACTTTGTTATTATAAGTTTATGATCGGACAAACCAAGTGGAGCATCTACTTGAATTGTGTACGAGTCAGGATTTGTGGTTAGGATCAAGTCTAAAAGTGCTGCAAATTCGCCCCTTTCTGAGATACGGGTAGGTTCATCGACAAGCTGCGTTAGACCACAACTTATGGCAAAAGCTTCTGCTTCTCTGCCTTCGTTATCTGTTTTGTTGTGGTGTTTCAGCCAGGGTATATTGTGGACGTTGAAATCGCCAAAAAAGACAATTTCCGCCTGTGGATAGTTTGACTGTATACTATCACAGCTTTCGGATAATGTCGCGAAAAAGTTTTGGTAATCGATGTTACTTGGCGGTCGGTAGAGGCAGCAGATAAACTTGGTCGATGACTTTGAGGTGAATTTTAGCCATATGATATCAAGGTTCGCTGGTTCTAGCTTCTCCTCTCGATGACATGAAAGATCATTTTTAATGATCCCAAAATTATGTCGAAATCGGTGGTGTAGGTCATAGCCGGGATAAAGATAGTTCACAATAGGTGTTGCAGAACTGATTTTAGTTTCAGTGAGAACAAGGATGTCAGGTCTTTGTTCTTCAAGATGTTGGTGAACTGAATTCATATTTGTACTTATTCCTCTTATATTGCTAAAATCAATTCTGAGTTGAGTTTTTGATCTTCTCTTTATATCTTTGCATGAAGGACCCCCAGGATCACCCGACGCCCGGAGATCCGAGTGGTCGGGTATTTTACCTCCGGAATATTTTGATCCTGAAGGCGCCATCATGCTATCTGTTACTCATTGTTGGAACCGGACTGCCAGCGCAGTAGCGGAACGTGGTGATACCACTTAGCGCTACTCAATTCTGGCATGGTGGTATCTCACCGGTCGACGCCCAATGAGTAAAAAGCGTCTACCACCTACAACAACTTTATGGCGATACTGGTGTAAATTTTTTTTCTCAAATTGCCTCAAATTTCATCTCTATTTTTTAACTTATTTGTCTCAATATTTGTCTATTTCTGGCTGTTGCATTTCTGTTTTCTTCCAAACTTCTTCAAATGAACAAAATTTAAAAAAAAAAAAATGGAGAAAATGTGAGTGCCTAGCATAGAAAAACCTTACGGCAATACTTGTCTGACAATTTTTTTTTTCAAATTGACCAAATTTCTTCTTTTTTTTTCAAATTCTTGGTCTCAAGGTTTCTCTATACCTGGATCTTGACTATCTGATTCCTGACAAACTTTTTTAAATATACAAAATTCGAAAAATTGATAAAATACGAGAGCCTGGTATAGAAAAACTTCACGGCAATACATGTCTGATAACTTTTTCTGAAATTGTCTTAGGACCCCGCACACTTCTTATGGGATTTCTGACCGCGGTCAAATTTAACCAAATTTTAGTATGTTATAGATCTCACCTTTCTAATCAATAACTATTATAGGCACAACTTAATCCTACGACTAGTTTTTGAGATACAGGTAGTTTAATGTCCAAGAAATATACACATTTCATATGCATTTACATCTACCTGTCACCTAATAATATACCAAGATGGACAGGTATCCTCACGCAAGACCGGGTTTAGTACTGTGGAGGTCCCTTGGCAGAACTCCTGTGGGAGCCCTGCCTCCTGCCATTCAAAAAAAAAAAACAGAAAAGTTTTACTACTATTCTTTCATAAATAATATGTACCTATTTTAAAATAATACAAAATACAAACTAAAGAACAGTTTTATTTGTACATACAAATACAGAGTAAAATATGAAAAATAAGAATAGAGAGTTGAGTAATAAGATGTGTGATTAAATCCTGAAACTTTTTTAGATTTTTTTTATTGAAAATTCATTGATTAGATCGAGCATATCCAATTGCTTTAAAACGAGGTGTTTAATGGTCATTAGTCATTATGGATAGATTATTCAAACGCTTTTGGCCCATCATAGACCAAACTCTATTTTTAATCAACTTAATCAACTTGAAGTTTGAAAACGTAAGCATCAAAACTAAATATAAACGGAGTGTCACCTCAACGTTTGGAAACGCATCATCCAATTTATTTTCTTTTTGCAACCGGTACATTTGAAGTTCTTCGCTTATATTTGATAAGTGAACTTCACATTTTTGAATCTCGAAATTATAAATGTGCTGTTTTTTTTTTGTGGGGCCCTTATTTTGTGGGCGCCCCGGGCAGCTGCCTAGCCTGCCCCCTAAAATCCGGCCCTGTCTGTCTGTCTGTTTTTTCAGATAGAATATCCGATTTTTTATTTCATGTTTTAAAAGTGAGGATGTTTTTACGTATCCTGCGATATAAATTTTGTTGATAATATTGTCACGGATCTTGGGGCTCAGAAAACTTGGGTTCGTTTATTCCAAAATCGATG